GCGTGGGCCCGCTCTGGTGTGGTTCCGGGGCGACCTGCGGCTTAGTGACCACGAGGCGCTGGCGGCCGCCAATGGGAGCGCCACGTCGCTCGTGCCTGTGTACTGCTTCGACCCAAGGGACTATGGGCAGGTGGGGTGTGGTACTGAGGCTCGGTTTTTTTTGGGGGGGGGGGGCGGGTGGCGATACAAGTACAGAGTGTAGTAATCAGGAAGTTGAGCTGCAGCTTGAGAGTCGCGCTGCGTCATGGCTGTCGTGTTGCCAGCCGCACCACGGGGCTTTGCAGCGCTTCGGGGCGCATGTGCGCAACTCCTGCACCCGGGCAACCCCCTCTCTCAGCTGTCGCTGCATCCAAGCTCCCCACCACCTGCTAACAAGCACCACATTGCACCCACTCCCAAACACTTGTATGATACGTCATCCAATCGGTATAATGTGAGCGCAGCAGGCGCCCGGCGCCTTCTCCCGTACTGGCCCCTACCGCGCCGCGTTTGTGCTGGGCGCTGTCGCGGCCCTCAGGGCGGCCCTGAGGGACCGGGGGTCTGAGCTGGTAGTCAGGGTGGGGCGGCCCGAGGAGGTGCTTCCGCAGGTGAGGCTGAGGGTGAGGCTTGGGGGGTCGGAGGCCTGGGGAGCGCAGGGGGGCGTCATTCATGTGCATGACATCTGCTTTGCTCTGCGTGCGCTGGGGAGGGCAGGGCATGGGTTCAGGGTGTTTGTATGGGGGCGCATGGGCCCTGTGTGGGCCTGGGGCTGGGGTTCTCGGCGAGTTTCAAGGCCGGCACGCGGTCTCGACGCGGGGCTGGCGAAGCGCGGGGTGCGGCGAAAGCGATGGGGCGGGATGGGGTGCGGTTCGTCGAGGCAACTTGCGGCGCTAGCGGAGCCCTGCCGCGGCGGAGTTCGCATGATTACTGTGGTGTCTGTGATCCTTGGAGGTCCGTGTTTTGGCCAGGAGCATGCGCCACAATAGGGGCCAGCCCCCAGGCCATCCTCTGAGAAGGCCGGATTACACTCCCGCTCCGTTCTCAGCTCGCCCTTTGTTGCCCCGGTTCAAACGCGACACACCCCCTGCATCAACGTGCTGCCCTTCCCCTTCCGGCAGCTGGCGGCCAGGGTGGGGGCGGGCCGCGTGTACTGCCACGCCGAGGCGGGGCCTGAGGAGCGTGCAGTGGAGGCCGCGGTGGCGCGCGGCCTCGATGAGCAGGGGGCGGCGCTGCAGGTGGGCGCAGAAGCGGGGCGCCTAGCCGCGCCCCGGCGCTGCAGCACGGGCCGGTCCACGTTTTTTTTCATTCTGTGGGGCCATCGGCCGAGCCTCGGCGTGATGCAGCGCCGAGGCGGGCGATGTTGGGCTCCGCCGCTTTTGGCGCGAGGGCTGCACACGCTCGCGCTTGCGCTCTCGCGCCCCCTCAGCTGCCGCGTCCCGCGTCCCCTCTGCTGCTGAAGCCCGTCACGCAAACACCCAGGGAATGCTGCCCCATGCGATCCAGATGACATCTGACGGGCTCACTGCCGCCAATATTCCCCCACAATACTACAACCCCACACCCTGAACCCTGAACCCTCCTCCTGCCCATGCCCTCGGCTGCCCGCACTCGACCCTCACTGCCAGGTGCTGTGGGGCGGCACGCTCTTCCACCCGGACGACCTGCCATTCAAACCAGCCGCCGCCCCCGAGTGGTACGGAGAGTTCAGGGACCGCGTATCAGGGGCGGCCGGCGGCGGGGGCGCGCGCGGGGGCGCCGCCGGCCGGAGGGGGCGCGGCGCGCCGGTGCGGCGGCCGCTGGCGGCGCCGGAGTCGCTGAAGGGG